AAATAAAATTATATTATTTATTCAATTCCATTCCAAATGTTTATTTATTACATTAAAATCTTAGCTCATGTTTGGCAATGATTAAAATTCATATTTTAATATAAGTCAAAATCAAAAATTAATTACAATCACATATATTTCATTAAATTTTATCAAAATTTACTAAAAATCTGATTTTAATTCACATTAATAAAGGACTTAATATTTTGAATTAGTCTATGTGTACACGTTATGATATACAAAATGTTTCACACCTCCCTCACATGGAAGGGAGCTTATAAATATTTTATTGTGTGTGGTCCCTCCATATGAAAGAGGTGTGAAATATTTTGTACACGTAACATTTCCTTAATATTTTTAGCCACGTACCGAAACGTTTCTCTCATCGATTTGTACTCACAATCAAATAGCACTGTTGTTAACGTCATCACAAAATATGTGCTTATCTTGTACAAGGATTTTGCCAAACAGCAAGGGCCACGTGGGCCCTGGCCTGGATGTCTGCGCAAATTTGCAGTGTCATTTTCAGAAGGGAAAAAAAAGTCCTAAAGATCTAACACGTGAAATGGCCATGGTTAAACTTTGTACTCATAATTTTGTCTTTTCCAATGCCAAATGGAACGCCTCATTATAAAATATAATTGCACAGAATTTATTTTTATATATATAGTAAACTGTTTAATTCGTCGTATGGTTCATTTAAGAGAAATCCTTTTAGTAATAGGAGCCGCTCGATTTTGTTAATTGTAATTATAAAATGAAGGTTTATTTATACATGAAATTTAACATTGTATTGTGTTTAAAGTATTGAGCATTCTTCTTGTTGATTTTGATATCCAATGAATTTCGAACGATGATGTAGACGTTGGATTAAATTGTTACCAACAATCAAGTCCAAAAACTCAACCCGAAAATAACGTGGACCGTTGAAAGTAGCTTAAACAATTAATGTTGCTCATAACTCATATATATTACAACTTGGATGGCTTTGAATGTTGACCAATTTAACCTCTTTTATTGTTCCAACTAAAGTCTAACCTACCATATATATATATATGGTGTCTTTGCCCTAATTGTTTTGTTTGTTAGAAAGAGAAAAATCGACAGCTTGCTTGGAAAGGAAAAATCGGTGACTTTTTTTGTGTTTTGGTCTCCATCTTGTGCTTCTTTCATTATTTTTTCCGTGCCTTTGTGGCTTACAAATCATCACAATCATCTTATCCTTTTGTGGGGTGAGATTGAGGAGCAACCGATGTGAATATATTAGTTGTGGATTTGAGCCGTTTAGATTGGTTGTTTGGTAGAAAAAAGATAACGTAAAATTGAGCTCGAAAAATACCGTTTTGACGATCCTTGGAGCAAGCTTCTGCAACATTTGGTATTAGAGCTTCAAGATGGTGGATTTGGCTTAAAAAACTGACCAAAAGCCGAATTGAAAATCGGCTGTAATGAAGCAGAAAAATAGATCGAAAAACTGTCAGAAAACTGCCTAAAAAATCAGATCTTTTTCATGATTTCTGGCCAATCCAGAGACCTGGTGGTGAAACGAAGACTACGACATGTCATGCAGGAGGATGCGGTCCCGGAGGTCAGGCGATTGTCACCGACGTCGGCGCAAGGAGACCATGCGTAGAGAGTGTGAGAAACGCGTGAGGGCTCGTGAAGGGTTTTACGGCGATGGTGTCTTTAGACAGTTTGTTCTTGACATTTAGTGTTGTTAGTTTTCTGTTTCAGGTTATACATTGAAGTCTGGACGATTGTGTTATTCGCGTGTTCGGAATTCGATCGTGGTTGATTGATTTCTGCGATTGTTAGAAACTTTTGGATGGATAGTGGTGGTCATAAAGTGATAATCGATATTAACATACTCAAATTGGTTCGCTTGGTATCGTGTTCTTTCTTTTTGTTATTGCAATTAAGATTATTGTTTAGCATAGTCATTTATTTTTGCAATAGAAGTCGTCGTGTGGGATAACGTCATGTTTGGATTATCGTGAAGTGGTAACTATTGTCTATTGCTAGATTTATGAATTTCTTGTTAATTATTTGTCTTGAATTCTTTTTGAATTTGTTGCCAATTATTTTTCATTATTAGAATTGCATGTGAACTTAGGAAATGTTTTGCTCGACCATTTTGTGAGAATTGATTGCATTTTGTATTTTGTGCATTTTTAGTATAATGACAACACGTTTCGAGTTGTGCATTTTTAATGAATAATATGATTTTTTTTTTTAACTTGACAAAACGAAAATATTTTTCATAAAACGTTTGATAGCAAATGTAGGTCTAAGGTAAGTGCAAAAAGTAAGATTTTTTTTAACTGCGGTAAATTTGGACATGGTGAAATAGACTGTCCTAGACTGATAATAACATGAAAGATAAGGAGAGATGCGAGACGAATGTGATTATTGGGTCAAGTTATGACCAGAGTGAGGTTTATTGAGAACCTAGTTACTGTATGTGCATCTGCGTGTAATCTTTTATGCATGTATATGATTGCTTAATTTCTTACATGGTTATATGTCACATTTCAATGTGTTTTATATGTGCATTTTCATAAATTTGAGAGCAATTTGATTACTTTGTGTAATATGTTTGCATGCATAGTAAGTTGAAATCTATGGCGTACTCATTTTGCTCTGTGAGTGGTGTGAGAGAGTAGGGTAATGAAAAGAAAGAGGGGCGGCCATTTTCTCCTTCATCTTTGTAAGCCTATATGGTTTGAAAGATTATGTGGGGTGTCTATATATGGGTTATCTTCCTCTTTGTGAGCCTCTTTTGTGAGTATACTAAAATAACGAACTCTTTCTTCTATTCACTTTGTGAGTGCCACATTCACCCAATTTCTCTATGAATTTTTTGAGCATTGGTGTTAGAGTAACCTTGTGGTGCGTGAGTTGTTTTAAATTGAGATCTAACCTTTGTGGTCGCCAAAAGTGTTGATTTGCCATAGTGGATTTAAGATGCATTAGCAGTATGTGTGTTGAGTGTCTATTGGTGATGTGGAGTATAAATACTTAGGGGTACATTGGTGGTTTGTACAAGGGATGTAGAGTGTGACATTTGGATTACAAGTGGATAGGTGATTAAATGTAGGAATTTTTTATCTGTGAAGAGACCCTGATCAGGTAAAGTGTGAGAGAGACACTTCTATCATTTTTGTTAGGTGGAGACCCATTATTGTTAGACATGAGTTGAGTGATCAATCTAGTGAGCATGGTGGGCGATGAAGTGAGATATGTGTTTTCAAGGTGTGAGTAACACGGAATGTGATATGATAAGTGTGGTGAGATCTTTTCGTGGGGTCATTTATGCATTTGTTGCATACGTATTGGCCGCTTGATTGATTAACTTGGTCTTGATCTATTGTTATGTGTGAACGTGTCTCTTTTGAAAAAGATCTGTGTTATCCTATTTGACATCTCCATCGCATGTTTATTTGCTCTTAATTGATTATTGTGATTATTTGCTTCTACTTGGGTATTCGTTTGTGACCTTAGCCCTAATGAGTACATGGAGCAGATATGATATGTTTTAGATCCGAAACACAAGGTAAGGTGTGTGATTTCAATTTTATTCATTGGCTTCATTATGCAAGCGTTAACTTTATGTTTTGATTGCTTGTAGATTGATAGTGTATCAAAGTGGAGATTTGTTGGGTTTTGATACCCAATGAATCACATGCGATGATGTAAACGTTGGATTAAATTGTTATCAACAATCAAGTCCAAAGGCTCAGCTCAAAAACAATGTGAGCCGTAGGAAGTAACTTAAACAATTAATGTTGCTCATGACCCATATATATTACATCTTTGATGACTTTGAATCATGACTTATTTAACCTCTTTTATTAGTCTAACTAAAGTCTAGTATAACCTATATATATGGTGTCTTTACCCTAACCGTTTTGTGTGTGATTTGTGTGTTAAAAGGAAAAAAATCGACAGCTTGCTTGGAGAGGAAAAAACTGGTGGCTTTCTTTGTGTTTGGCCTCCATCTCGTGTTTCTTCCATTATTTTTTCTTGTGCCTTTGTCACTTACAAATCATCATCATTATCTTGTCATTTATGTGTGAGATTGAGGAGCAACCGAGGTAAATATATTGGTTGTGGATTGGAGCCGTTTGGATTGATTGTTTGGTAGAAAATGTAGCATAAAATTGAGCTCGAAAAATATCGTTTTGACGATCCTTGGAGCAAGCTTCCACGACCCTTCTTAAAAGTTTGGGTAATTCAAAAGTGAGTAACTTATTTAATGAAACTAATTACATAAAGTAGCTTTAGTTGAAGCCGCCATGGGTGGCTTTAAAAAATTGTCACTGTGGGTTTAAATATGAAAGAACATCAATGCTTTGGAACATTAGCTCGGGTAAACTAATTCCATGGGCCAAAAAATATTAGTTAAGCGAACAAAAAATTTTCAAACGTCTCTCAGTTTTTTACAAGAGTGAATTGGTTTGGGAAATAGAAATTCAGAAATATAAACATTTCGCCTTGCAAGATTTTTGGTTCAATTTAGAAATCACAAAGTTAATCCTTGGGGCTTCTAAGGAAAGGGAAAATGGGTATTAAAAAAACGACATTTTTTTACATTTAAATCCGTAGATTTAATTTAATAACATTTCAAATGTCGAGATCACTCATTCAAGACAACTTGTGTTAAGGTTATGCTTCATTGTCATGTTCAGCACGTTAAATTCAACATACCACGTTTAAGAAAAGAGAGATTAATATTTATTTTCTTCACCATAACATATTTAACATATGACTTGAGGCAATAACTTGTATCTGCACGCGTAGGAAAACAATATTGAAATTTGCATCAGCAAACATAATTGATTTATATATGTAAACAAGATAGGGAAGGTTTTTTTCATTTGAGGAGGAGGAAAAACAAAATACAAGAATTAAAAGGAAACATAAAGATATTATTATTACTAAAATAAGAAATTTGCTTGATTTCCTAAATTCTAAACTAGAAAAGCTTCCAAACCAGGCGATCAATCGAATTTAAGAATGTCTTGGGAATGTCTTGGAACCTGAAAACAATTTAAGAAAATTAGCAACAAATTTGGTGTGGTCCTCAATATATAGAGACAGATATTAATTTGTTTTAATTTCCAAAATCCTAAACTAGAAAATTTTGTTGATCGAACTGCAAAAACCCTTTTTTGCCAGCATCTTAACAATTCAATAACATTTTTTTCAGTCATATTTTCGCGGGGGGAAAAAAAAAAAAGCACGCTTGAAAGATGGATTTCTTGAAATTTTGAAATATCTTCGAGAGGCTGTATATAAAGATTTCTTTAGAAAAAGTACAGTACTGAAGTTTTCTGGGTACAATTTCCAAAGGAGTTCCATAATTTGGTTTAAATTAGTATTTACCAGAAAATAGCTGTCACCATGCTGCAAACTCTGCATCAGAAATCCATGTCCATTGACTTGAACTGGAACTCCTGACGAGTGAAGCAACATAAAATTTTGTCCAAACATTGCTTTCATGTCCAGTGGCCCTCTTGGTATTTCTGTTGCAACTCCATTGATAAACACTGTAATCAATCCTGAACAGTGAAAATTATGAGAGAATTCTGTCAAATTGTGAAAAAAAAAAATTATCTATTTTTTTATGCTTATCTACAAGTTACGTACGTGTCTGCCTTAAGGACTCTTGTGGGTACACATTATTGGAATGGAAAAAATAAGATTTTCTCTTCTATTTTTTTCTTTATACTTTTGAGCGTAAAACTAATGAATATTATGGTGTATTTCATTATTAGGGTTTGAAGAGAAAAGGGAAAAAATTGGAAATCTGAAGCAAATAATTGGGGCTAGTACAAAATGCTAATTCATTACTGAGGAAAAAAACTGAATTGATATGAGGAGACTAAAATTACCAGACTGGTACTGCAAATGAGAAGCATCTGAGGGGAAGAAAGTCGATTGAACAGAAGGATTTTGGTCGATTTCCGGGTGAACTGAGTGTGAGAACATATCATCAGAAGCACCATTTTCGGTGCAAGATGAAGAAGAACCATATATGCCGGAGCTTGAGATCAAAGGGAAATTATATGGGGAAGGCACAGAACTTGCAGCAGCAGTGTTTTCATACTGAATTGCACCACAATCACCACTCCACCGCTGAGTTTGTGGTTGTTCACCGCCACTAAGACTGGCCTGAATTTGGCGCTGACGGCGGCGGGACCTTGACCGCCGGTTTTGGAACCAGTAGAAGACATTAGCATCACCAACTGCACCAAATTTCTCTAGCAGTTTTCGGATTCTCACCGTTTCCTCCTTTGGAGGATTCACCATGCCACTGTTGAAGATAGACTCTAGTATTACAATTTGCTCCGGCTTTGGCGTCCACCGGGATCGAACCGGCTCGTTTCTCTTGGTTTCTGAGCCACCGCTCTGCTGACTACTGCTATCCTGTGCTTGATTTTCCATGGAGTGTAAAATATTTTATTAGGACACAGACTCTTATGAGTAAAATATTGAAGAGAGAAAATAGAAGCACAAATACGCACACTAGTCCACATCATGGGTTCAAAGTATTTAAAGGCCATAGGCGTGCCACCTTACTAAAATTTCGACATTGCCACTACATACGTCCTGTCGCAAGTTTTTACTCAAAATTATTCAACACAGTACCTAAAGACACAAATATCATATTTCAAATCTCGTTGACATCCATTTATAAAAATTTTGCGCATGTTAAATATGATTCAATCGCGAGCTAAAGCCAATAGGATGTTATGAAGAATTGAAGACTAAAGGGTTTGTTGCTCTTCATCCATACAATCATTTGCCTCCTAATTCATTATCAATCCAAAGAATTGGTCTCAATGTTGCTAAGAATTTAAATACCTAGTCCAGTAGGTGCACATGATGTTTATTTATTCCTTAAATGAGATGTAGAATAGAGACTCTTTAGTTGATATTCATGATCTGTCTATTTTGTCTATGTTTATATGCTAATTAGCACTAATTAAGGTAATTTGTCTCAGCAAAATCATTGTTAGAGATTATTTTGAAGTTTTGTCTTCAAGTTTGTCTCTGCAAGAACAGCAAGGATAGCTAGCAATTTGAATTTCAAACTTCCATAAAGCTTCTTCATAATGACTGGAATACACTGAACAAACGAGCCGCAAACATTGAAGTTAATTACATTATCAATGCCAATTCTATTCCTATACAATTATGGGTTGTTTAACTTGGGAGAGTTAAAAGCTTTTTTTGATTTAAAAAAAAAAGAGAGAGAGAGAGAGCAGTGAATCCTATGAAATGCGTGACGGAAAAGTAAATAGTAATTGTGAATTCTATGTAATATATGATTAAAATTAATTGTTGATTTTGATATCAACTTTTTAAACTTTCCCAAACAAAGCCATAGTACTAATAGTAAAGTAACAATTAAAAGACTGAAATTCCAGTCTGATGTGTTAAATTTTAAAGAAAAACCTAAAGCATGTTTAGAAATGGTTAGTAATTGGTTTAAATTATAAATAAATAAGTAAAAATAAGTGATAAATAAGTTGATAATATTTTTGAACTCACGAAATAAATAAATGAATAAAGATAATGATTTAATTGATTACAATACAATTATTATTCCATTGTGGGCCTCACACACATGTTAGAGGATTGTGCACCAAGTAGCAAATTTGAATGATTTATTGCTGCAAATACCACTATTATTCGATTGTGCAAGTATGAACGCAGTTCTGAGAAAGGATGTTGAAATAGCACAAAGTTGACTGGACGTAAAAAAATGACAAGGAGAATATTGGGTTTGGCGAAGGATTTGCATGGAAATCTGGAGAAACAAAATATGAAAACGAAGAAAAATCTGAAACTATAGGGTGTGTTTGACACCCATTTTTGTGAAGAATAAATTCTGGAATAGTGATTGATGGGAAGAAATAAATTCTGGAAAATAATGTTTTACAAATTCATAAATAATTTATAAAGACAAGTAGCAAAAATAACGGTCGTACATACATACATCACAACTTACAAATTTTTTTTTTATCAACAGATGATGTAGCGAGATTTGATTAAATCAAAATCTAATCAATCAAATTATATAAAAAAAAATTCTCTATTTTCTTTTTAATATATCATCAATCTGTAAAAGATTATGTTAATGATGAGGTTACAACAAGCATTTTCCTAAAAATAATAAGTGAATTTCATAAAATATGTAATAATGAAGAAATGATTTTTTAAACACAGGTGACATAACACATCAATTAATTGAATTAATTAATTGGTGTATCATGTCATTTATCTTAAGTATCGATATTTAGAAGATCATTACTGTATAAATAATAATGATTAATAATTATAAATGCGTAAATAAAATTACAAATTAATTTTGATTGAATTTCTAAGTTATTTATAAATAGGTAGACATGACTCATCATACTACTGCATTAAACCAGAGAAAAATAGTGGGGTTTCAAAGGTTGGCTTAAACTTCGAACAGTTTTTTCTTCAGAAATAAAATAATAAGAATAATTACAGAAGAACTCACATGAACAACCGACATAATATTCGTTAATCAACGCAGTTCCTTGTCACTCTTTGCCTTCGTTTGTAAGAATTTAGAATGGCAGATATGTGCCGCAGTACTGCTACTTTTTGTCTGCTCAGTTTGTGTTCTCCAAGGGATTCCTTAACCATTATTCAAATTAACTTTTTAAATGTGAAGTAAATTATTAATATTAAGTATGTCAGCGTGAAACATTACATTTTCATGATGTTAATTAACAGTTTCAAACCATTCATTCTTTTCCATGTTGCAGCATCACTCTAACACAACGCAACCATTTTAATTTACAATAAAAAGGAAATTTTAACATAATTGATAACAACGTTAATGCGGTCAAACTTGATTGAATTGTATTTCTTTATTTTTTTTTCTTCCAATGGTGTCACGTTAAATATTATCTGGCAAAATTTTTTGTACTTATAGCATACTTGTTTAATTTAATGTTCTTCTCTGCCTTGTGATGTTTAAATTGAATTTTACATAGTTTGAATATAGAAAATAACAAGTAATACAAGAATTTGTAGCAAGGTTGACCTTTCTAAAATGATACTTCAATTTTTGTCAAAGTAACACCAAGAAAAATAAACCAAAAAATTGTAGTAGCTTAGTATTTTTGTCAACGAGAGGAATATTTCTTTGAAAATTTTGTTCATATTGAGCACTCCCAAGTCCGAAAGTCCAAGAGTTAGGCGTGGTAAAATATGTGCCCTAAAAACCGAACCATAATGTTCGGTCGGTGTCCTTTATCTTTCCTCACACATTTTCTTTTGTGAGGTTTGGTAGATTTCCACTTTTGTCATCTTTACCATGTTTTCTAGGGGCTTTGGAATTATTGTTATTTTTGACAGAAAGGGAAACCTCTCTGCAAGTTGATGCAAGAGAAAATGGAATCCCTCTCTTCTTTTTTATTTCCTGGAGTTATTTATTTCTGAAAATACGTAATTCGACCCTAAGAACACCTAGATGGGTGAATAGGTGATTATGTGGAATTAAAAATTATTTAATAATTAACTAACAACAAGTCACTATTAATTATTTTTCTAGATGATTAAACAAGCAATTCAATTAACCCTATGTTGAAATACCGCAATTATGTAAGTAATAAAAGAACACAAAAAACGATCACGGAGAAACCCAATTGGGTGAAAACTCCAGACACTTTTCCAGTCAACAATCCACTATAAACGATTTTTAACTTGCAGTCTACCAGATTAGACGATAATACGTACTATCTGATCTCATGACTGCAATTCCAACAACTCTCCTGATTCTATGCTCTTGTACCAACTCTCAGCTGCAATTTTCAAAACTCTCCTGAATTGCTCTCTCCTGTGGCAACTCTCACCTTCGTGAAATCGTCTATCTCCTATGGATTCATAAAGAACACTGCGTTCTTCAACAACTGAAATTTCAGTCCCCTTCCATTGATCTTCAAAAACTCTAATAGATATGAAGGAAACATCAATTTGGTATTTGGATTGTGAAACTCATGTTTTTACCATCAAGAACAGTTCAATTTGAACAATGAAGGTTGAATGCTTCAAATGATGAAAAGAATATGAAAGCAATGATTTTTCTTAATAATCAACATTGGGAAAAAATGTTCAGTGACGTTCAAGTATTTATATGTAGGTTAGGGAATGAATGGGTCAAACAAAATACTTTTAGAAAACGAAATAAAAATTTCCTTAATAATACCGTCGCTCAAGCGAAGGTCCGCGATAAAGTTTCTATTTCTGACGGTTTAGCCAAACCTTGGCAAAAAGCTAGCGAAATTCTGCGTCGTTTTTCCTTCTTTCCCATTCTCAAATCCTAGACCTAAAATATCATAACTTTCACTAATTGCACACTTACTCCTTGACTTTTTATAACATATCAAATTTAGTCCTTTTTGTTCATAAAATAGTCAATGACATTAAATCCTAACAAACTCCTCATTTGACATTCTGTGACAAAACTACAATCTAAGTCACAGCAGTACTAAAATAAATTACAGACCCAAAACAACAGACACAACCAATAACTATCTTGAACAAATTATGCATTTCATTCTTCAATACCTGTTTCCTGAAATAGACAGCTGAACTACCCATTGTAAAATGTATTTGAAATAGTACTAAGTGTAAAAGTAGTTCAAGTAGTTCACAGTGTAAAAGTGATTTAAGTAGTTAATAACTCATAATCCAACTTTTCAATTTCATATCATATGCTAAATTAAGATGTAATGCAATCCAACATACCAAAATGAAACATTAATACTACTAAAACATCAAAACNAACCCAACTAACCAAAACGAAACAATGATACTACTAAAACATCAAAACTTAAAATAGTAAAAAACTGAAAATATATCATATAATCAGAATCAAATGTTTTAGATACATCAAGTAGATAAAAACATATACATCTTATCAAAATATCTAGATGACATCTACTCCCATTTTTTTTTCACAAAATGACAAGGACAACATTGTAAAAAAAGAACATAAAAAAATGCTTTACACCCTCACTTTTATTATAAGATATGAGCATTAACACATAATAACTCAAAAAAATATTGTTATGAATCAGGTACAAATATAGACAATGAATAATAAACCTTCACACATATTTAGTTCAAGTTATCATTGAGTAAATTGTATAAGCGACCCATATTTGTAAAATGTCACAAATTCTTTGAAAATAGGACTCCAGACATTAAAGTTGTAAGAAAGAATACGCGAATCATCACTGCCGATAAGTTTATTCCTTTACTTATGAAAGGCAAACCATGTAAAACACATCAGGACCTATAACGTAAAGCTCATTAGAAATGGAAGCACTCTTTCTCCCCATGAGTATGAGCAAAATGATTTGTGTTATATCATTCAATAAATGAAACTCATTATTATT